CCACCACCAGTGTGCAGCATCCACTTGGATGATGCGACGGCAGCCACAGGACAACGGTGCCAGCGCACTCACCACAAACCAGCTACAGGTGGAGAGGAGAGAGAGTCATAGAGCCAATCAAGTGGATGGGGATTATTAGGAGGCCATGATTGACAAGGGCCAGTGGAGGGAATTTGGCCAGGACGCCGGGGTTTCACCCCTACTCTTTACGATGAGTGCCATGGGATTTTTAATGACCACAGAGAGTCAGGACCTTGGTTTAACGTCTCATCCGAAAGACGATGCTTTTTGACAGTATAGTGTCCCCGTCACTACACTGGGGCATTAGGACCCACACTGACTGCAGGGTGAGCACCCCCTGCTGGCCTCACTAACACCTCTTCCAACAGCAACCTAGTTTTCCCAGGAGGTCTCCCATCCAGGTACTAACCAGGCTCAACCCTGCTTAGCTTCAGTGGGCAACCAGTCTTGGGCTGCAGGGTGATATGACTTTTTATTCATCATCCTTAAAAAAGCATCACAAGTTCCAAAAAATATATTAAGCAGCACAACTGTTTCCAACATTAATAAATCAGCATATTAGAATGATTTCTGAAGGATCATGTGACACTAAAGACTTTTCCACCACAGGAATAAACTATTTTAAAGTAATTTAACTATTTTAAAGTATATTAAAACAGAAAACCGTTTTATAAACCGCATAAGAGCATAAATAAAATTCCTTCAGATTTAAAACGGTAGTGTATATATGACTGGTTTATTGATGTGTTTTACCTGTTTGGTGGTAGTTGTTTGGACGCTGGTTGTGTTTCCTATGCTCTCTTTATAAGACAGCAGAATGCTGCGGATTTTATACACCACCTGATATATTTCAATCAGCACCTCACAGGGCTCATATCTGCAGTCAAACACACACAAACACACACACACACACACACACACACACACACACACACACACACACACGCGCGCGCATTAATGGACTGTTTAACCTATTGGTTCATCCTGGCTGCTGCTGCAGAAGGTTGATCTGGATATTCATGACTGTCGATTCATATTCACTAAACTCTCACAAATGAGTCATTATGGCTGAGGAATTTATCATGTGAGATTTCTCACAGTACAGAGAGAGACAGGCACTGACACTTTAATATTCACATACAGAGTCATTCTTTAAATAGAGCATATATTCATTAAGTCTGGGTCAATTAAAGAGTTCATTACACTATGGCAGAAGGGAGACGTGGGAAGACAAAGGTTTTCAAGAGATCTAGGTAAAGAGAGATAGAATGAGGGCGAAGTGTGGATCTCACTCACTTATCCTGCCAGTAGGCTTCATGAAGGCCGGCATGTTTGAGCAGAGCGGCCAAACTACAGCGACACGCCGTCTCTAACAGAGAGTCTCCCACTGATCCACTATTGTCCCAGTCTGCATAAAAACACACATGTGAAGGTCAATACTTAGACAGGTACATGATGATCGTTCACAGTTCTTGTGGTGCAAATAAAATCAGGTAATTCTGCCAATAGTTATAGGCATAGATTTGTATAGGTAGATTCCACCTTCCAGCTACGAATGAGGGATCTATGTATTATTCTATGGTCATAGGAACTATGAAAATGTTCCTCTGGTGCAAAACTCACTTTTCTAAGTATCTGGTACCAAAAAAGTATGTAAATAAATGTCTTGCAATATTTTTTACCTTCTTTTCATATTCTACACACATAAACAAATCCTGCCCCTCTCTTACCTCGACTCGCCGCATACTCCTTCATCTTCCTCCAGAGGGCACTGGCAGGTTCTCGCAGTGAGCCAAGAGCGAGTTCCACTAATGTTGTGTTCTCTTCTGACAGCAGCAGCTCGGCTAGTCTCACGTCTCCACAACCCATGAACACGGCCTCAGTCAGCCAACCCATTGCCCAGTCTATAGGATAACATACACAGATGAGTATTTATTTTTCTGTATTTATGTGTGTTTATAACACACAACATAAACAATAAGCTGCTGCCTCCTGGTGGCAGGTCATTACCCAGCTGTTCAAAGTCTATCTCCAGCCCATTTCTCAGGAGAGGGTTACACAGCCAGAACTCTGCTGTCTTCTCCTGGATGGAAGGGGGTGGGCCCTGAAGCATACCTCCCAGGCATCGGCCAATGGCAAGAGCTACAGACCTCTCCAGGTCTAGTAGCCACGCCCAGTCTTCTGGCTCTGGCACTGTGATTGGCTCAGAGGTTTCAGATGCTTCTGCAATAGAAAGTACATTTAGATTTACATTTAGTCATTTAGCAGACTCTTTTATCCAAAGCGACTTTCAAATGAGGACAACAGAAGCAATCAAAACCAACAAAAGAACAATTATATGCAAGTGCTATGACAAGTCTCGGTTAGCCTAGTAAAAGTAGGAGTGTGCAATTGGCAGTACTGTGTCTATCATGATGATCTGTCATTTGTTAATGATTAAGTTGTTTTTGAACCGTTTAAATGTCAAACAATGCATTAAGGTATTCGGAACGTTTTCCAAGAATGACAGAAATACATAATTCTGGTCCTTACCATCTGAAGTTCCTTCCAGCTCCATGTCCTCCAGGTGCGCAGTGTTGGGCAGGTAACAGTTGAGCTCATTGAGATGTTCAAGCAGAGTGAGCAGGTGAGGAAGGAGGGGTTTGACCACAGCCAATGGCAGCAGGAGCAGAGAGTACATCACCTGACACAGCAGACTCCCCGCCACCGAACCAAACAGCACAGCTATAGAGAAACACATATAACTCAATACACTGGGTCTGGTTGGATCACAGGGTGGCTACCATGATTGGAGGAATGGAAGGCAAGATAAATGGATGGAATAACAGATGGACGGAGGGATAGACGGAGGGATGAACGGATGGATGGATGGATGACTACATGAATGAATAATAGAATTGATGAACAAAAGGATGGATGGACAAATAGCTGAACAAGTGAATACCTCTGTAAATGTATGGATGGATGGACTGATAGATGGATGGATGGATGGATGGCTACGTAAATAGAGGGATGGATAAACAGAAGGATGGATGGATGGACAAATGGATAACTACATAAATGAATGGATGGACTAATAGATTAATGGATGGATGGCTACGTAAATAGATGGAGGGACTGATAGAGAGATGGATGGACTAATGGATCGATGGACGGATGAACGGGAGACTACATAAACGGATGGAGGGATGGATAGATGAACAAATAGCTGGACAAATGGATAACCACATAATGGATGAATGGATGAATGGCTATATAAATAGATGGATGAGAAATGGATGGACTAATGGATGGATGGATGGATGAATGAATGAGAGACACTATAAATGGATGGAGTGATTGATCATTAAAAATATCACAAAAGCTTTCCATTTCAAATAAATGCTGTTATTTTAAACTTCTTATACATCAAAGAATCATAAAAAAAATTATGTGGTTACCACAAAAATATTTTCATATTTTCAATATTGATAATGTTTCTTGAGCACCAAATCAGCTTATTAGAATGATTTCTGAAGGATCATGTGACACTGAAGACTGGAGTAATGATGCTGAAATTTCAGCTTTGTCATCACAAGAATATAACATTTTAAAATATATTAAAATAGAAAACAGTCATTTTAAATTGTAATAATATTTCACAATATTACTGTATTTTTGATCAAATAAATGCAGTCTTGGTCTGTCAAAAATGACAAGAAAAAAACAGTAATGTATATTATAAGTTATTATATTCAATAAGTATTAAATATACTGTCAATTATACATTATTTAATATTATAATCTTATATATTAATTCTTAATTATATATTACAAATTATAATATCAACAAATTAAAAAAAACAAAAGTCCAAAAGAGGCCCAAGATGTACAGAAGATTGTACAACTGTTGGAACTGACTGTATAGAACCCGATGCTGAGCAGCAAGGTCTTCAGTAGCACTTCAGCCAGGTGGAGTTGGTCTGGAGATTCTGAGCCAGAGCTAGCACTTCCTGTGGGGCGGTCAGGGGTGGGCGGCAGTGCCAGACCTGCGCTCAACTCCCCAGGTGAGCTGTATCCCAGCAGGGACGCCACGTGACTCTGTTCCTGCAGGCTGTTCAGCACCATGTCCAGCTGTAGACGCTGTAATAGTAATATCACAGAATTATTAGAGGAACAGCAGGGGTTTCTCAGCAAATATTGATATATGTGCCAGACTTTAATATTGTTGCGTTTGCGTACCTGTCCTTTAGAGAGGCTTTCCCAGCTCTCTGGACCCTGTGGTAACAGCGAGTGCAGCAGCTCCGTTCTCTCCCTGAGAGGAGGCAGCAACAGAGACGCTCCCATAGAGAGCGTGGTCATTACCGCCTCAACACACAAACAAAAATTAATTAATATGGTGTTGGAATGACTCATATGCTGGCATTCTGACGATGATTCAGTCAAAAAGTTACACTGTACTCTTGAAGGTTGTGAAAAGTCATGTACCCTGCAAACTCCCTCAAAAAGAAAACCGAGCCAACAGATTCCATCATCTTAAGAGTTTTTAACATGTGGGCGGAACGCCAGCAAGCATTCTGATTGGCTGGAGTTGTTTACTGTTTTGTACTGGATGGAGTGATTGATGAACAGAAGGATGGATAGATGAACAAATAGCTGGACAAATGGATAATACTACATGGATGGATGGATGGATGGATGGACGGATAGATTGATTATGAATGGCTACATGGATGGATGGATGGATGAATGGGAGACTACATAAACTGATGGAGGGATGGATGAACAGAAGGATGGATGGACAAATAGCTGGACAAATGGATAACCACATAAATGAATGAATGGTTACATAAATAGATGGTTGGAGAAATGGATGGACTAATGGATGGATGGATGGACGCATGGATGGGAGACTATATAAATGGATGGAGGGATTGACGAACAGAAGGATGGATAGATGAACAAATAGCTGGACAAATGGATAATACTACATGGATGGATGGATGGATAAATAGATTGACAGATGGGGGATGGATGGATGATTATAGATGGATGGATGGATGGATGGATGAATGATGGTTAAATGGACAAAGGGACAGATGGATGGATAAACTGATGAATGGGGATGGAGAGATGGATGGATGGCTACATAAATAGACAAAGGTATACAGTAGATGGGGGGATGGACAGAAGGGTACTTTAAAGGAGGGATAGGTGGTCAGAAGGTTGGATCGATGGATGAACAAATAAACAGAAAATGGACAACTACATAAATGGATGTATGGATGGAGAGATGGAAGGATGGATGTAATGATGGATTGATAGGGATATGCATGGCCGAATTACTGCATGGACGCATGGATGGCTGCATACATGGATGGGTGGGTTGAAAAATGAACAGCTAGATGGATGGATGGATAAATGAAGGGAGTGACAGACAGATGGCTGGATGCATGGATGGTTAGTTGGATGGATGGATGGCACATAATGCGTGTTCTTACTGTGTAGTTTCTTGATGACGTGTTTGTCCAGTGTGCTCTCCTCCAGCAGAATGGTGGATCTCCTGAAGGTCTCGGCTGCGTAAGGCACCAGCAGGCACAGGTGCTTATGGAGCAGCACCACGCTACTGTCATCCTACACAACAACCAAACACTTATTATGCAGAACGCCTCCGGGTTCTGGAACAAGAATTTTTGACTAAACATGCTCACACAACAGTATTTTATTGCTTAAAACTACAATGCATAACCACTGCAACTGGCAGCATGTGGGAGCTATCATATGGAGTGGGTTTTAACAGGAAATGTGTCATTGTTGTACCTCAGAGCCTGTGTGGATGTAGCAGTGGGCCAGCAGGTGTCTGTGAAGGGCTGACAGCAGGTGGTGGAAGTGTGATGGAGCCTCCGTCTGTTTCTGGGACTGACTGAACCGCTGTTTATCACTGTTCTTCTCCAGTTCGCCAAACGCACACTCCTGCATGAACAAACAGGGAACAGAGTGAACATGTTATGATTTGTGTTTTGATTTTTCTAAAATATATCACACATTAAATTCCTTTTATAAATTTTATTTTTCATTTAATATACGTAATTAAATACAACAAAACATCTCAGTTGATTGGCTTTTCCTACAAGGAAGCAGACAGAGAGCATTAGAAACAGGTTTACATTTTTGCATACATAAATTATTATTAAATTAAATTAGTATTATCATACGCTACCATTCAAAACTTTTGGAGTAAGTACGATTTTTTTTAAATCTTGTTCAGCATGGATGCATTAAAATTATCAAATTACTGTAAAAACATTAAAAATATCACAAAAGCTTTCCATTTCAAATAAATGCTGTTATTTTAAACTTCTTATACATCAAAGAATCATAAAAAAAATTATGTGGTTACCACAAAAATATTTTCATATTTTCAATATTGATTCCCTCAAAAAGAAAACCGAGCCAACAGATTCCATCATCTTAAGAGTTTTTAACATGTGGGCGGAACGCCAGCAAGCATTCTGATTGGCTGGAGTTGTTTACTGTTTTGTACTGTTGCCAGAAATTATAGATTGTACAGTGTTTTTTTTTTTATAAAAACAAAAAAAAATCAGTTTTGAGCCTTAAAAATGCTGTATGGAAACAAATAAATTTTTGTACCTACAATAAACACATATAATACTCCGTTTACTTCAGGCAGAAAAAAATATATTTAAAAGTAGGCTAAAATGTAATAAAATATGCAATTTATTATGTTTAATAAAAGAGTCACAGTAGCATTCACAATGGCTACCATTTCTATTTTGCACCAATTCCCCTCAAAAACAGCTGTTTTGTTCTCTTGAACAATGTTCTTCATTCACAAATTATTTTCACTTTTATTTATTTATTTATTGCAATATTTCATTGTCATGCATAAATTAAATTAGCAGCTTGGATGAAAACACAGCTACTGACAAATAACATATGCCTTTGCCAAGTATAATTTGCCAAAGAGCACAATAAATCACATAATGAAACAGAAATTCATAACTATTCAGCACCTTCTGCAAGCTTTGTTTCTTCAAATTTAAATTTAAGGAAAAATTTAACTACCGTTCAAAAGTTTGGGGTTATTATGATTTTAGAAAGAAGTCTCGTATGCTCACCAAGGCTGCATTTATTTAAAAATACAGTAAAAGAGTAATCTAGCTAAATATTATTATAATTTAAAATACCTCTTTCCTATTTTAATATATTTTAAAAATATATAATTTATTCCTGTAATGGCAAAGCTACATTTGGAGCTCTAGAAACATTTCTTATTATTATTATCAATGTTGAAAACAGTCAAAGAAAACAGCTGCTTAATATTATTGTGAAAGCTGTGATGCATTTTATGATGATTCTTTGATGAATAGAACGTTTTAAAAAAACAGCATTTTTTTTAAACAGAAATCTTTTGTAAATTTGAAATGTCTTTACTGTAACTTTCATCAATTTAATGCTTTCTTGATAAAAAAAAAAACCTTTTAAACATTGTAATAATTCTATATGTAAATTGTAAATATATGCAAATTATTCAGAACTGTGCAAAACCAATAACTGTAAGCAATACTGAATTAGCATATAATGCAGAAAAAGTACAACTAAAACACACTGAAGCCCAGTGTTTCACAGCAGACCTGTTGTATGGAGTCTGGTACATTAGAGTCGATGAGTCTGAAGAGCAGGTTCCTGAGGGGCTGACCCTGAGCGCCCAGCACTGTGGCCCCCGTTCCTCCTGCGTGGGCCAACGACAGGTGGATGGACAAGAGTTTCATACACAACAACACGAACTGGTGATGTTCCCTGGAGAAGAAACAGAGAGGACAAGAGTGAGAAGTTTAAAGATGAGAAGTCTAGAATGACCTTTACCGAGTGTCAGGCCATATGCTGCTCTGACCCCATCCCTGTGGGCATGGAGATGGTTATGAGCTTGTGCCAGATACCCCTGCGGCTGTGTATGTGTGACATTCCTGCTATATGAGTGTCTTTCAGCAGCTGACATTGACACAGATAAACCAGAATTTGTGCTTGCCTATACAAAAACTCTCTGCCACAATGCTAGGTAGTTGCTAGGGCACTGCTATGCAGTTATTTAGCTGCTATGGTGGTTGCTATGTAGTGACTTGAGAGAAAAGTAAAAAGCTGAAGCAGAAACTTAGAGGTTGGAGGAGTAAATAAAAAATATTATTAAAATAATAGTTAACGTTTTCTGGAAGCTTCCATATAATGGGATCAAGACATTTGACGCACACTCTCTCTTTCTTTGGAGATACTGGTGCAGAATTAAACGTTCTGACCTCAAGGTCAACATACATCAGTAACCATCTTGAGGCCTCAGCAGGAAAAGATCTACAATATTATATAATCTGTATGACAGCTCTTATGTAATCTTGCAGTTGACAGATGTAAACTACTGACATCTGACATTGCAAATGTCTACGAATCGGATTGGCATGTCTGAAGCATCCATCCATAGTATGAAATGGCATTTTATTCTCCATTTTATAAAGTATAACAGACATTTTTAATATTATAATAAATAAAATCTAATTAGAAAAATTCTTAAATTAAAAAGAAACTTATATAAACTTAAATATATTTCAATTTCTCACCCTGCATCTATCCACATACCTACCTATCAAAGAACAAGATTTGCTTTTAAAACAGCAATATCTGACACTCTGTGCCTCTATAAATACACATTATACTGTACATATGTTTGATTAATCGTTTGTGGTGCAAATCACAATCCATCATTTGTAAATCTGGGTGGGTTGGTGCTAGGTTCTTACCTCTTAGAGGGGAAAGGTGCAGGTGGTGTGTCCCCACTGATACTATCACAGTAACGCTCCAGGAAACTGCGCAGGTACGTAAACGTGCTCTCCTCCAGATCCACACAAAACGGCCTGTGCCAAGCCACCAGCTGCCTGCCAGCACACAAACACACATCGATAATTCACACTCAGTCCTGTCAGGAAAACAAAGCAACTGAACAGCTGTGAATAATGGAAAATGTAAATGCGATTGTATTAACACATTAGCGGTAGAACTCACGCCTGATAGAGCAATATGGGGTTTGATTTGCATAATGGTGCTGTTTCCTGTAGACTCAAACTCATTTAAGGACAAATTGGTTTTGGTTTTGGTTTAGATCAGGAAGAGGGGGCTTTTTATTCCATTTGCATTATCCATAAGCAATGAGAGATGCAGATAATGAAATACCAAACATGCATTGTGGAAAAGCCATCAAATCTCAACTAATGAACACAGTTTTCTGTCTCTTCTCACCTGTCAGTGGGAACCGCTGTCCAGGCCAGGCTGTGGGAGGTGCCTGCAGTAATCTGCTGTATTGACACCCCTTCTAAACCAATCACTTTCTTGGGTTTGGTGACTGGCGTTGAGGTATGGCCCTGCCCACACTGCCCCATGGCATTGTTGCCCCAAGCAAACACCTCGTTTTCTGTACCACAAACCAATGAAATTACTCAAGCATTTTCTTAGAATAAACTAAATGCAGCATCGATCTGAAAATCCCATTTCAGTAAATAACTTAAATTTCAGTCTCTTGCTGATACAAAGCTATCAGATGACTATTTCAGAAAACTTGGAATATAGCGCACAAGTTGTATAGACTACTTTTATGGTGTCTTTTTTTCTTTTCCAAATGTTCTGTTTGGAATTACATGAGGGTGAGTAAATAATGAAAATTATAAATGTTTTTGGTAAATATTCCTATAATCCTTAGTGTTGTTATGGTTAACAACAACAAATGAATTTTTAAAAAATTGTCTTGAATTGAAATAAAGCTGAAACAAAATAAACATTGTCTTGGCAACTAACTGAAATAAATAAGTTTAGGTACTTAAATTCCTAAAAGTTAAACTAAAATAAAAAAAAATTAAAGCTATATAGAAATATTTTAAAAAGAATAAAATAAGAAGGACAACATTTATTAAACGTAAACAAATATTAAAATAAAAATAAATGCTCATTTAAAATATGAATGAATACTAGAATAATATAATCAAATAAGAATAAAATACTATAACAAAATAAAATTAATATATAATAATATCAGATAAGAATGAAATAGCACTGATCAACAATTAATTTCTATAAAATGTTCTATAATGTTTCTATAAAATTAATTTCTATAAAATAATTTGATGCAATTTAATGCTAGGTAATTTAATGCAATGCATTTTTTATGTAAATTAATTTAAATATGCAGTGTCAAACTCTGTAGACTTACTTTAGGAAAATAAAAAAAAGCTTGTCTAAAAATTTTGAAGAGAACGAAGTTGCCACAATCAGTATCAGAGCAGAAATTATCTTTTTAAGTTTCTTTTTACATTTTTATTTAATACTATTTTCTCATCTCCTCTTCCCATTTTGTTTCTCCATCTCTCTTACCATGAGACAAAGCGAGACAGTGGCTGTCTCCACAGGAAATGTCTATGATTTTTGTGATACTGAGGTCCTCGATCAGGCGAGGTCTGAGTGAGGTGGTTTCAGATGAGCCGCAGCCAAGACACGAGCCGCAGCCCCAAGCAAACACCTGCATCACACACAGGAAAACACAGAGACATGAGAATTTATATGGGTGTATAACGGTACATATTTGCTCAGCAATATACGTGAGATTGTGTATACCTGGCCAGCAGATGTCAACGCCAGTGACGACTGGCTCCCAGCACACACTTTTCTGATAATGAAGCCATGTAGGGCTTCTATCACTTTAGGCCTGTACACACGGTTTGTGTCCCCATGTCCCAGTTTACCTGCAACACAACACAGAGTTTACATTTACAGAACTGCCTCTAACATGGATAATAGTAATTTAAGGTGTCAAATTCAGAGGCCGTGTTTGCACTTGTTTCAACTACTGGCTCTATATTTTGCCTTCTGAAAACACTTTGCGAAACAGCTTTATTTCAAACAGGTTTGAGCCTGTCAGCAGATGTTATGTCTGATAGTGCTACAATACAGAGCAGATCACTCTGAAGGGGACACAGCTTTACCGTCTCATATGTACACATGTACCATGACAAACAACAAAACTCATATGTATAGCTGTTAAAATTGTTATGGCAAATAGAACTTGAGTCAAATATTATGCCTTTTTGTGCCGTTTAATTCAAATTATTCAATTCAAGTGAAAAAAAACATGAAAATCTATTTTCACAGATAGCCATATGGTAAACAAAAGCAATGCATTATGTTTGAATTAATTATAAAATGAACTGAAAATGACGATAGATAGATAGATATATCTATAGATATAAAATGAATAAATAAATCACAACTAAATAAAATGAATAAATAAATCACAACTAAATAAAATGAATAAATAAATCACAACTAAATAAAATGAATAAATAAATCACAACTAAATAAAATGAATAAATAAATCACAACTAAATAAAATGAATAAATAAATCACAACTAAATAAAATGAATAAATAAATCACAACTAAATAAAATGAATAAATAAATCACAACTAAATAAAACACAACTAAATGACAGACAGACAGAGACAGATAGATAGATAGATAGATCAAATAAATAATGATAAATAGATTATTTTAACATCCCTCCAAGTGTACTTCATGTGTGAGGATGATGAAAATGGTCATCGGAAATTAAATTACAACTGATTTTAGAGGAAAATGTGGAGTTCTACAGAGAAAAAAAAAAAAAAACTTAAAATACTACAGAATATGGCCACTTTATACGAAACATCAGCATACCGTTGTCTCCTCCTCCAAAGGACCAGACGATTCGTCCATCTTGAGCCACAGCGATGGTGTGAGAGCTGCCACAGGCCACTTGCCCGACTCCACTGATGTCCTTCACCAGAGTGGGCACATTACGACTGTGACTGTCGCTGTGACCTACATGACAGGCAGACAGAGGAAAAACAAGACTGAGACACACAGGCAGAACTTCTGACACAACAGTCTGACTCAGTCTGAGGGATCAGGCGTCCCGTTTACTGCCTGGCAAATTATTTCTCTATGAATTAAAAAGAGAACACTCTGAGCAGTGTGCACTGTGCACAGCAGTCATTCAAACCATAAAAACCAACTCCCAGAAATCAATAGTGTATTGTATTTCACTGACAACACTACATCTAAGAATAGATCCTCAGGCAGGTGTGTGTGTGTGTGTGTGTGTGTGTAGTGATGTTGATGGTCTGTAAGAGGAGAATGATGTACCGAGTCGACCGAAGTCGCCTTCCCCCCAGGTGTACAGCTCTCCGTCATTAGTCACCGCAGCGCTGTGTCTGTATCCAGCAGACACACACACCACCACCTGCAATACACACACAGGAAACACGCACACTTTGACAAATGCAATGATGAGATTTGTTAAATTTTTCTGAAATTTAAGTGATTGTTAGAGTGTTTTGTCATTACTAGGGCATTACTATGTGATTGCTAGGTTGATTTTAGAATCTTGCTATGCAGTTGTTAAGGTGTTCTGTGTTTATTAGGGCATTGCTATATGGTTGCTAGGGTGATTTGATTGATTTTTAGCATGTTATGTAGTTGCTATGAAATTTAGGGGTTGCTAGGGCATTGCTATGACGTTATTATGGTGATTTGGTTGATTTAAAAATGTTGCTATGCAGTTATTAGGGTGTTCTGTGGTTACTAGGGCATTGCTATGCAGTTGCTAGGGTGATTTGACTGATTTTTAGCAAGGTCCGCGAGCTGGGACTCGAACTTAGGACGCCTGAAGTGCATTTTGGGGCGCTGCCCACGAGGCTATTGACGCCAACAATCTGGTTGATTTTTAACACATTATGTTGTTGCTAGGGTGTTCTGTGGTTGCTAGATTGTTCAGAGTGATTTTTAGCATGATGTTATGTTGTTGCTATGGCATTCATGGGTTGCTAGGTCTTTGATTCATGACGTTATTATGGTGATTTGGTTGATTTAAAAATGTTGCTATGCAGTTATTAGGGTGTTCTGTGGTTACTAGGGCATTGCTATGCAGTTGCTAGGGTGATTTGACTGATTTTTAGCAAGGTCCGCGAGCTGGGACTCGAACTTAGGACGCCTGAAGTGCATTTTGGGGCGCTGCCCACGAGGCTATTGACGCCAACAATCTGGTTGATTTTTAACACATTATGTTGTTGCTAGGGTGTTCTGTGGTTGCTAGATTGTTCCGAGTGATTTTTAGCATGATGTAATGTTGTTGCTATGGCATTCATGGGTTGCTAGGTCTTTGATTCATGCAGTTGCTAGGGTGTTCCGTGGTTGCAAAGGCATTCCTATATGGTTGCCATGTGGTCGCTAGGGTGATATGATTGATTTTAGCATGTTATATTGTTGCTGGGAAATTCAGAGGTTGTTAGGGCATTGCTAATGTGGTCTCTAGGGTGTCTTGGTTGATTTTAGAATAGTGCTATGCAGTTGCTAGGGTGCTCTGTGGTTGTTAGGGCTATGTGGTTTCCAGGGTGTTGCTATATGGTTGCTAGGGTCTTCTAAGTGATTTCAGCATAATGCTATGCAGTTTATGATGCAGTTTATTTTTTTTGCTAGGACACTGCTGTGTGTTTGCTAGAGTGTTCTGGAGGATGGCTAAGTTGTATATCGTTTCTAGGGTGTTGCTAGATGGGTGTTAGGGTTTTCTGGAATGTTATCTACTGATCCAAGTCAAAATATACTAGCAGCTGCAATATCTATGGCTAACTGAAGTATGGTAGAACCAATCAAATGTGTGGCATACTTACTGTATGCCACTGAGACAGCTATGTGAAGTTTTTATTCATCATGCCTAACCATGGTCAAAAAAAAAATGTCGGAATATAATGAAAATAGACCGATCCTCTTTCCCAAGTTATGACGTACAGCTGAGTAAAACACATTATTAAAAAATAAAAAAAAATGTAGGGTGGGGGCTTGTTTCTATCAATTGGTGGTTGAATGAATGATTAAAGGAACAGTTCACCCAAAAATTTAAATTGTCATCATTTACTCACCCTCATGTCGTTCCAAACCTGAATATGTTTCTTTCTTATGTTGAACACAAAAAGAAGATTGAAGAATTTTTAAGAACGAAACAGCTGCTGGTCTCCATTGACTTCCATAGTAGGGAAAGAAATACTATAGAAGTCAATGGGAACCATCAACTGTTTGATTACCAGCATTCTTCAAAATATTTTCTTTTATGTTCAACATAAAAAAGAAACTCATACAATTTTGGAATGACATGAGGGTGAGTAAATGATGACAATTTTAATTTTTGGGTGAACTATTCCTTTAAGAATTACGAGGTCAGAACAAATTGGAAAATAAATTAAACATATGCACAAATAAACCGTTCCCAATCAGATCAATAGCATGCATTAAGAAATGGATAGGGTAAATATAATGCTTAGAATAAGACGCAATATGTTCCAAATGATGGACTCTTTCCAAGACATCTTGGTAATGGCTAGTTAATATAATTCTAAAATAAAAGCATGCATTTATGTTTTTAAATTTGCTAACACCACCCATTCAGATGGTCGATTAAATTATATGAGCACAAAGTGAAACGGCAACCCAAGTCACTTCCGTAATTGATTAAAACAAAATATTCCTAGAAAATAAAATGTAGAGTAGGATTTGTGAGGTGAAAGTGACCTGAATGCCAAAGTTGGCTAAAACGCAACATCTAAATCACTATTTGTATATTGGTTAGCATTATCCAGTGGCCCGGGTGACGTTATCATGAAAGGAAATTAATTTATTATGTTTTGATAAAAGATTGAGAATATAGTCTCTGGCTTCATCTCACCAAAGTACTTAACCAGTTAGCGTTTCAGAGAACTAATTAATTTTGAACTCAGGAGTAGGAAAATCTTTAAACAAACAGTTCCTTTAGTACAGGGAACAAGTTCTGCTGAACTTCAAGCACTAAAGCCTTGAAGTAGACATATTTCCCATTGATTAAGACATCAATAAATTAGAGCACGGCACATGGCAGGTCTGGTGTGGCTCAGGCGGCTTTCAGAGCTGGGAAGACGGCCAAGAGCTCCTGGTCAATTGAAAGCCACAATCTTATTTAGAGCAAGGAGAAATTTTCAAATCATTCCTGCCCTCCATGAGAGGAATACAGAATAATGGTAAACTACTGTATGGTGGTAGCAATTAGCAACAACGATTTGCTTTAAGTGCAGAGGGAGGGATGAACAAATGGAGGAAAGCGTCCTAGCTGACCGCTAGGTCAGCCGCATGGTGCAAGAACACACCGTGTGCTGGCGCATCTGTTGCATGGTTTGATGGATCAGCTCGTAACCCACTCCAACTGTTTCAGACATGGTGGAGGAAGCGGAGGCAGCCAGCGCCACCTCCACCCACTCCAGAAGGAAGCGCAAGGATCCTCTTTGTAAGGCTAACGAGAGGAGGAGCTCCAGGGATAGCCTGCGACCCGCCCGATCCGCCCCGGAGCCGCTGACCGCCGTCTTCTTTAGGAAGTCTCCAACTTGTGTAAGACAGTCAAGCCCCACTGTCGGGATCTTGTTCTCGTTGGCCAAGGAAAGAGGAGGCAGGGCGGCCAGGACTGAAGACGCTGTTGCCAGTACCTCGTTGCACAGAGCAACGTCCGGTGGGTTCTCAAGACTCCCACGCTGCCAACTCTGCCTCAGTAGGGCAAAAAGGAGACTCAACCCAGTCCGGACTCCCATTTCAATAAGAACGTCTGTGCCCGACTTTGAATGGGAACTGCCTGTTGGCCAAGGCTCAGACACTGACTCTAGAGTGCCCCCTTCTGCATTGGAGGATGAGGGCTGGGGAGGCAGCGGTGCTCGGAATCGGTCGTGATACTTGCTATGGAGGGAGTAGAACACCCTCTGGAGGATCATCAGTCTGTGGTGCAGGGATAGGGCAAAAGGGGTCCTCGCCAGCATGCGTTGGGCAAGGCATCGCTGACTGTGGAGCAGCGCAGACAGATATTCCTCCTTCTCCTCCTCAGCGCTGGATTCGTACTGGAAGTCAGGCAAGCGTGGACCCATTAGGTCCTGCACTGGTTGGGCCAAGCCCACAACCTCCTTGTTGTAGACCAGTTTTGCATAGAGAGCTGCCGCTCCGTGCCGTGTGGCGGTCTGAACGCTGTCCTCCGCCGCCCAGGAGCTGTTCAAGTGCTCCTGCCACTTGAGCATCACGTGGGTCTGAGAAGGCACCATCACTGTACATTATTCACATACAAGAGGCACATAGCTGGAAGAGAGAAAAAAAGAAAAAGAAAATTAAAAATACAGTTCAAGACCTAGCAAAGACATCAGCGTCAATAGCCTTGTGGGCAGTGCACCAACATACAGCGCCGTTGTGCTACTGGTGTCCTGAGTTTGAATCCCGACTCGAGGACCTTTCCCCATTCCACCCCCATATCTCTCTCCCACTTTGCTTCCTGTCAGTTCTGATCTGTCCTTTTATAATAAAGGCGAAAATGCCAAAAATTAATCTTAAAAAAAAAGACCTTGCAAAGACTTTCAATGCAAGTCTGAAGGTTTCCGGTACAAACCCCACATGGAATGAGACCCTGCCATTGTACCCGAGCAAAAAACTTAAGGTGTGGTCACATTTACCATTGCTTTACGAAATGTCATGGGATAATTCCAGTCATTTCAATAGGAATCTGTGTGATTGGGAGTTTTGAATGAGGGTAAAAACATTTTGCTCGAATTCAAGTCGCTCACTCGAATTCACCATATTGACCAACAGGAACCTGACGGGTTTGAAAGGGACTTATGTGTGAGAGGTGCTTCATGCATCACTATGCTACTGACAATAGACTTTTCTGTCTATAGAAAATAGAACATATTTTAGCACTTTGCTACTTGGGGAATTACATATTCTAAGTTCATGGAGCTCTTCTAAGCCGAAAGGCTGTGAAAGTTGTTGATTTAAAGGTATAATTCACCCAAAAATTTAAATTCTGTTATTAATTACTCTCATTATTCACATACAAGAGGCACATAGCTGGAAGAGAGAAAAAAAGAAAAAGAAAATTAAAAATACAGTTCAAGACCTAGCAAAGACATCAGCGTCAATAGCCTTGTGGGCAGTGCACCAACATACAGCGCCGTTGTGCTACTGGTGTCCTGAGTTTGAATCCCGACTCGAGGACCTTTCCCCATTCCACCCCCATATCTCTCTCCCACTTTGCTTCCTGTCAGTTCTGATCTGTCCTTTTATAATAAAGGCGAAAATGCCAAAAATTAATCTTAAAAAAAAAGACCTTGCAAAGACTTTCAATGCAAGTCTGAAGGTTTCCGGTACAAACCCCACATGGAATGAGACCCTGCCATTGTACCCGAGCAAAAAACTTAAGGTGTGGTCACATTTACCATTGCTTTACGAAATGTCATGGGATAATTCCAGTCATTTCAATAGGAATCTGTGTGATTGGGAGTTTTGAATGAGGGTAAAAACATTTTGCTCGAATTCAAGTCACTCACTCGAATTCACCATATTGACCAACAGGAACCTGACGGGTTTGAAAGGGACTTATGTGTGAGAGGTGCTTCATGCATCACTATGCTACTGACAATAGACTTTTCTGTCTATAGAAAATAGAACATATTTTAGCACTTTGCTACTTGGGGAATTACATATTCTAAGTTCATGGAGCTCTTCTAAGCCGAAAGGCTGTGAAAGTTGTTGATTTAAAGGTATAATTCACCCAAAAATTTAAATTCTGTTATTAATTACTCTCATTTGTTCCAAACCCGTAAGACCTTAGTTCATCTTCAGAACACAAATTAAAGGGGTGGTTCATTGCGATTTCACTTTTTTAAACGTTAGTTAGTGTGTAATGTTGCTGTTTGAGCATAAACAATATCTGCAAAGTTATGAAGCTGAAAGTTCAATGCAAACGGAGATATCGTCTTTTAAAATTTTGGCAGTTTAATGCCTACAAAAACGCCTGGTAGGAACTACAACAAGTTACTTCCCGGGTTCATGACATCACAAACCCAGATAAACCCCGCCCTCGGGAAAAGGCAGCAAAGGGAGCGAGGCCATGCTGCACTGCTTTAGAGAAGAGGAAGAGAAAACTAGAGGTGCACGTAAAAATCTATTCATATATGAATCGCGATTCAGTCTTCTAACCATTCTAATGGATTCACAAGTTTCAAAATCAATGTTCAAAAGCAGCGGTTCTCAATACTGTTCCTTGCGTCCCCTGCTCTGCGCTCCTCTCTCTCTCTATGAACTGTTCTAATTATACACTTATTTTCACATAGCTATGAGAAGCATTAAACATGGACGCGCATACGGTTGCTGTACTGTATTATAGCTTTAATCAGGATAAAACCATATATTAAAAGCTAACATAAGCAGTAGCATTTACAACAGCGTATCTAAAACAACAAACAAAAAACATAGGTCTACCATTAAAAGCCTTGCTTGCACAGGTTCTGCACGATCCTCTTCAATAATATCCTCTGCTTCTCAATCGGGCTCAAACTGATAAGTGATATTAACCACACCATTGTTTACAATACAACCGGAGCACATGCTGCTGAGGTGAGGGGCGGGACGATTAGACTAGAGGTTTAGCCAATCACAACACACTGGGCTAGCTAACCAATCAGAGCCCGTCGCCTATATCTGAGGGCGGGGCTTCACAAAAACAGGAAAAGATCAGCCCGTTTCTCAGAGAAGGGACAGAGCTGTGTGGAATAAAGGTTAAGGTTAAACTAAGCATTTACACATGTTAGACTGCACCCCATAAACACAATCGAGCCTAGAAAAAACCCAGTGAACCACCCCTTTAAGATATTTTTGATGAAATCCAAGAACTTTCCGAACCTCCATAGACAGCAAGGGAACTACCACGTTCAAGACCTAGAAAGGTAGTAAGGACATCATTAAAATAGTCCATGTGACATCTTGTGCGTTCACATGCGTTGTGGTACTCTTGTGAACGTGCAACAATTAAATAGGTCCCCTTTAAAGGGTTAGTTCACCCAAAAATTAAAATTAGCCCACTAATTACTCACCCTCAAGTTCACCCAAAAATGAAAATTAGCTCACAAATTACTCACCCTCAAGACATCCTAAAAAGATATGACTTTCTTCTTTCAGACGAATCCAATCGGAGTTATATTAAACATTGTCTTTGATCTTTCAAGTGTTTAATGCCACTCAGCGGGTGTTGCATGCATCAGTCCAAAAGAATTTAAATAAAAAGCACCCATCCATAAAAATAAAAATAAAGTGTCTCACATGGCTACGGGGGTGAACAAAGGCCTCCTGTAGCAAATCGATGTGTTTTTGTAAGAAAAATATCCATATTCAAAACGTAATAATCACTTTAATGTAGCTTGCGCCAACAGTCCTACACAGAAGCAGCTCCGGGTGGATGACGAATGAGGTCGGCTTTGTAAAAGAGCATAATAGGACCCCTTTAAGGTTGAACCACTGATGTCAAACTGACTATTTTATCGATGTCCTTACTACTTTTCTGGGCATTGAAAGTGGTAGTTCCGTTGTCGTCTATGCAGGGTCAGAAAGCTCTCGGGTTTCATCCAAAATATCTTAATTTGTGTTTCAAAGATGAACAAAGGTTTTACGGGTTTGGATGATTAATGACAGAATTTTAAATTTTGGGTGAACTATCCCTTTAATAAATACATTTAAATACATTTTAATAAAACATCTAATAAATAAATTATCTAAATCTAATCGAAATGTATAAATATTATTACAAAATAAAAATAAATAAATAAATAGCTTGAACTCTGGAGGCTGTTTTAAACAATAAGTTACTTCCCGGGTTCATGACATCACAAACCCAGATAAACCCCGCCCTCGGGAAAAGGCAGCAAAGGGAGCGAGGCCATGCTGCACTGCTTTAGAGAAGAGGAAGAGAAAACTAGAGGTGCACGTAAAAATCTATTCATATATGAATCGCGATTCAGTCTTCTAACCATTCTAATGGATTCACAAGTTTCAAAATCAATGTTCAAAAGCAGCGGTTCTCAATACTGTTCCTCGCGTCCCCTGCTCTGCGCTCCTCTCTCTCTCTCTCTCTATGAACTGTTCTAATTATACACTTATTTTCACATAGCTATGAGAAGCATTAAACATGGACGCGCATACGGTTGCTGTACTGTATTATAGCTTTAATCAGGATAAAACCATATATTAAAAGCTAACATAAGCAGTAGCATTTACAACAGCGTATCTAAAACAACAAACAAAAAACATAGGTCTACCATTAAAAGCCTTGCTTGCACAGGTTCTGCACGATCCTCTTCAATAATATCCTCTGCTTCTCAATCGGGCTCAAACTGATAAGTGATATTAACCACACCATTGTTTACAATACAACCGGAGCACATGCTGCTGAGGTGAGGGGCGGGACGATTAGACTAGAGGTTTAGCCAATCACAACACACTGGGCTAGCTAACCAATCAGAGCCCGTCGCCTATATCTGAGGGCGGGGCTTCACAAAAACAGGAAAAGATCAGCCCGTTTCTCAGAGAAGGGACAGAGCTGTGTGGAATAAAGGTTAAGGTTAAACTAAGCATTTACACATGTTAGACTGCACCCCATAAACACAATCGAGCCTAGAAAAAACCCAGTGAACCACCCCTTTAAGATATTTTTGATGAAATCCAAGAACTTTCCGAACCTCCATAGACAGCAAGGGAACTACCACGTTCAAGACCTAGAAAGGTAGTAAGGACATCATTAAAATAGTCCATGTGACATCTTGTGCGTTCACATGCGTTGTGGTACTCTTGTGAACGTGCAACAATTAAATAGGTCCCCTTTAAAGGGTTAGTTCACCCAAAAATTAAAATTAGCCCACTAATTACTCACCCTCAAGTTCACCCAAAAATGAAAATTAGCTCACAAATTACTCACCCTCAAGACATCCTAAAAAGATATGACTTTCTTCTTTCAGACGAATCCAATCGGAGTTATATTAAACATTGTCTTTGATCTTTCAAGTGTTTAATGCCACTCAGCGGGTGTTGCATGCATCAGTCCAAAAGAATTTAAATAAAAAGCACCCATCCATAAAAATAAAAATAAAGTGTCTCACATGGCTACGGGGGTGAACAAAGGCCTCCTGTAGCAAATCGATGTGTTTTTGTAAGAAAAATATCCATATTCAAAACGTAATAATCACTTTAATGTAGCTTGCGCCAACAGTCCTACACAGAAGCAGCTCCGGGTGGATGACGAATGAGGTCGGCTTTGT